GCACCAAAAGAAGGAAGATCGTAAATATGGTTGCATCGAAATAATCTCTGCATTGCAAGTGAAAACAGGTTTGAAGAGGGGAAACTCTACCTTTCTTGCAGCTATGATAGAGATCAAACCGGACCAGCTTGTTAAAGTTCCGGATTCTGTTGCTGAAATTCTAGAGGAATTTGCAGAAGTGATGCCACCAGAACTACCCAAGCAATTGCCCCCTCGACGTGCTGTTGATCACAAGATAGAGTTGGAGCCGGGTGCAAGGGCTCCTGCTCAGGCCCCATACCGGATGGCGCCTTCAGAACTGGCTGAACTGCGTAGACAGTTAGATGAGTTGCTGGAGTCTGGCTATATTCAACCATCCAAGGCACCGTATGGCGTGCCAGTGTTGTTCCAAAATAAGCAGGATGGCTCAATGCGGATGTGTGTAGACTATAGGGCTCTGAATAAAGTGACTGTGAAGAACAAGTATCCAGTGCCCAATGCCGCTGATTTATTTGACAGGTTGTCAAGGGCATCCTACTTTACTAAGCTAGATTTACGTGCAGGCTACTGGCAGGTGCGTATAGCAGAAGGAGATGAACCTAAAACTGCATGTGTAACTCGTTATGGGTCTTATGAATTTCTTGTAATGCCGTTTGGGCTAACTAATGCCCCGGCAACCTTCTGCAACTTAATGAATAATGTGTTTTATGACTACATCGATCGCTTTGTTGTTGTCTATTTGGATGACATTGTAGTCTATAGTGAGTCATTGAAAGATCACTTAAAACACTTGAGATTGGTTTTCTCAAAACTGAAGGAGTTTCAGTTATTTGTCAAAAAGGAGAAGTGTGAGTTTTGTCGCCAAGAAGTGATGTTTTTGGGGCATTGGATCAGTAAGGGCCATGTCAGAATGGATGAGAGAAAGGTGAAAGCCATCCTTGATTGGTCTGCACCTACCAAAGTGACAGAGTTAAGATCTTTTCTAGGGTTGGCAAACTACTACAGAAAGTTTATAAAGGGGTATTCCAAGAAGGTTAGTCCTTTAACGGACTTGCTAAAGAAGGACAAACAGTGGGTTTGGTCTGAGGAGTGCCAAAATGCTTTTGAGATGCTTAAGCAGGCAGTGTCTACAGAACCGGTCTTGAGACTGCCTGACTTTGGTTTGCCATTTGAAGTGCATACTGATGCCTCTGATAGAGCAATTGGTGGGGTTCTAGTCCAAGAAGGACACCCATGTGCCTTTGAAAGCAGGAAGCTTAAGGATGCTGAACAGAGGTATACAACTCACGAGAAGGAGATGACTGCAGTGATACATTGTCTTGACGCATGAAAACACTATCTGTTGGGTACTAAGTTTACAGTGGTGACTGATAATGTGGCCAATACCTACTTCAAGACACAGAAAAAGCTTACTCCAAAGCAAGCTCGTTGGCAAGAGTTTCTTGGGGAGTTCAATTTTGTGTGGGTTCACAGACCTGGAAAGCAGAATCAGGTTGCTGATGCCTTGAGTAGGAAGGAAGTGCAGGAGTATGTGGCGTCATTGACAACGGTGTATACTGATTTCCTTGACAGAATCAAAGAGCAATCTCAGTCCGACAATGCCTATTAGAAACTAAAGCAACAGGTTATTGATGGTGAAGTCAGAAAGTACTGGATTGAAGATAATCTACTCTACGCCAGAAGAGGTAGATTATATGTTCCTGTTGGAGGTTTGAGACGGGAACTAATGCGGGAAATGCATGATCCTTAGTGGGCTGGACATCCAGGGGTGGATAGAATGCTGGCGTTGATATCCAGATCATATTACTGGCCCAAGATGGAGGATGACATAGAGTTATATGTCAAGACTTGCTTGGTCTGTCAGAAAGACAAGCATGAAAGGTAGGAGGAGGCAGGGCTACTGCAACCTTTGCCTATACCAGAGCGTCCATGGCAGTCAGTTTCAATAGACTTCATTTCTGGTTTTCCTAAGGTGGAAGGTATGAGATCTATTTTTGTGGTTGTAGATAAATTCTGTAAGTATGCAATTTTTATTGCTGCACCACATGCATGCCCAGCGGAAGTTGCTGCTGGTTTATTTCATAAGTTTGTGGTGAAATATTTTGGCTTGCCCGAAGATATTGTTAGTAATCGTGACACCAGATTTACGGGAAGGTTCTGGACAGTGCTATTTGGCTTGATGGGTTCTGAACTGAAGTTCTCCACAGCAAACCATCCTCAGACTGACGGATAGACTGAGAGGATGAACCAGTTATTAGAAGAATATCTGAGGCACTATGTCACTTCAAGTCAGAAAAATTGGCTGGAGTTGCTAGACACTACACAATTCTCTTATAATTTGCACAGGTCTTCAGCAACAGGAATGAGTCCCTTTGAGTTGGCAACAGGGCAACAACCTCGCACACCACAGGAGGTGGCAGTGCAGAGGACTGGTGGAAGATGCCCTACAGCATACCGATATGCCCGTTCTATGCAAGAGATGGTGGAGGAGGCACAGGACAGCCTTGCCAAGGCTGCGAGAAGGATGAAAAAGTATGCAGATAAAGGGGAAGGCCATTAGAGTTCCAAGTGAGAGACAAGGTTCTGTTGAAGTTGACTCCACAGATTTGGAAGAAGATAAGCAGCAAGACTGTTCACAGAGGGCTGATTCAGAAGTATGATGGTCCATTTGAAGTTGTGAAGAAAGTGGGGAATGTTGCTTACAGATTACAGTTACCTGAAAGACTGAAGGTCCATCCTACTTTTCATGTGAGTTTCCTCAAGCCTTTTCATGAGGACACTGCAGATACATCAAGACAGCAGGCTAAGAGAGCCCCACCTGTTATTCGGTTGCAGTTTAACAAGGAGGTGGAGAAGATTTTGTCTCACCGGACCCAGGGTCAGAGTAAGAAAAATCGCAGAACTGATTACTTGGTGCAATGGAAAGGATGCAGTGAAGCAGAGGCGAGCTGGGAAACGGATGTGACATTATGGCAGTTTGAGAAACAGGTAAGGGAGTACTTGGACAAGTCGACGAGGGCGTCGACTTCTTCTGGTGGGGGTGGTTTGTTAGCCCCTTGACGGTTGTCCAAGGGAAGACATGGGCATTTCAAGGCCATGCCATGTCTTGGGAATACTTTGGCTTTGGTTAGACAGCCATGAGAATGCTCAGTGGGTTGTCAGCGTGCACAAGATGCTCAGCGTGCACACAAGATGCTTAAAAGGATGCTCAGGGTGCACTGGGGGTGTCCAGTGGCACTTTCGTAAATATGGCGAAAAGTGAAACTTAGAGTTTTGACTCGGGATCTTTATGGGAGATACCTTGAGTCCATAGAAGCTGGTTGGCCCAGACGGCACTCAATTTGGATGTCGGGAAAGGTCTGAAAGGCCATTATGACTCCTCAAGCATGGGTGATGTTTATTCCTGTCAGAGTGCTGGATTTCCTTAAGACTATATTAGGGGGGGGGGGGGGTCTGTTGAGCACATCGGTTGGGCTATGGCATGGCTTGCTTAGAGGGCTTAGCTAATGTGCATGGGCACGTGTTGTACCACTCCAAGATAGTTGCACAAGTGGGGAGCATCCAAGATATTGAAGGGCAAACAAGTGGGCACCGACACGCGCGCTGGTGTGCAGCGGCGCGCGTGCGGGCATGCAGGTGGGCGCGCGGGCTGGCGTCTAACCTAGTGTGCGCGAGCGTCTAGCTCGGCGTGCGCATGGGCGTCCAAGTGGGTGTACAGCCAAGGGCGCATGAGGGTACAAACATGGCGCGCAAAGAAGGGCACTAGTGTGTGCGCCGGCGTGCACTTTGGTGTGCACTCGAGCGTGCGCACGGGCGTGCATGGCTTGGCACGCCGTGCACTCAGAGACATATATATGTGGGTGCAGATTGGTGGACTTGGCTTGGGCTAGGTTCACAAGGTTGACTCAGATGTGGCTAGAGCATGGACAACACAAAGTCATGGCTTGCGGTTACAAGAGGTGGTGGCTTAGTGGGCTCGGTTGGTTGGGGGAAGTTACTAGCACTTCCCACTCATCATGGGAAGTGGGGGAGTGCTGAGTAACCTCCCAAACATGTGGCACAATTCTGAGAGGACCAACACACAGGCGGTTAAGGGTGGTTTCCTCCACTATGCAGAATCTAACTTCTTGTGGTTATGTGGCATGAGCAGAACATGCCAACAAGTCTAGCAGTTGGGCTTGTCAACTGCATTATAGTGCTGGCTCATTTAGAGGGTGCCAGCACGACCCTAGGTGGATGGGGGTGTCATCCATCATCTTAGTGGGCAGTTATGGGCGGTTTTGAGAGTGGCCTATATAATGCTAAGGTGGGCTTTGTAGAGGGAACAGAGGAGAGGGTGTGAGCCTTAGTTGTTCCTTGTACGAACTCATATTCCTTTGTAATATGTTTAATATGAGCAAAGGTTGGGGCTTGTCCCTGTAACTGTGTGTGCCTTCTTTATATTTCTATACTGTGTGTATTGTGTTGTTGTGTTGGCTGAGACTTGGTGGCCCCAAGTGCCATTGCAGAGGCAAAAATTCGTGGTGTAATTTAGCCCTGTGACACTTACCCATTCAACTAAAAAAAATAAGATAGGAGAGAAATAAGTAAGCCTATTATAGAAGTTTTAAATTACTACATCACCCTCCGTAAATATTTAATAAATCCCATAAATAAAGTAAGGGATGGGTTTAATGATAAAAACAACTTAAAATTTTATTTTTCCTTTTATCCTATCGATCAAATTAAATTGTCAGTTTTTTCCATTCTCTTCCATCCAACCGAACAAAAAGAGGGAAACCCTTAATCTCTTCCCTAGGGATGTCTCAGTCATCCTTTCTTCTCTCCCTTCCATTCAATTTTTTTCCTTCCTACTGAACAGAACATACAAGACTGAAACAAATATATAATAATTAGATATGTGAAATTGTTGAAAAGCTTTGCAAATATTGATATCTTATTCCAACTTTTCACCTACTAAACTGATATATTCAAACTTGTCCGCAGCAATGCACAACAGATTAAAGCATGAAAGATCATACCTTGACATAATTTTTGAAATACAAGGAAGAGCACGGCTTGGTTCAACATTATTATCCTCTGTACTAGAGAAGTTTCTCCCAACCTGAGCATGCCCAAGAAGCATGATGGATAGCTAGACACTTTGAAGCCAATAAAGAGCCAAAAGATCTTGCATAAGACATAAATATTGAGAAAGTAGATTTGCACTAACCTCATCGGCCAGCGTAAGAAGATAACAAGTGTCTTTATCTGGAAACCATCCAATCTTACAAGCACTCTACCAAATACATCGTTATACAACCACATTAAGAGACTCGGTGTAAAAAGAGTTGAAAACGAATACACTAACAGCAAACAATGCAAATCAATTAAAAGAAATAAACTGCTGTTGATTAACCTTTTCAGGTGTTCTACAGCTTTGCAATCCATTTATAATAAACTCGGATTCCAAAAATCTATATCATGCCTAGGAGAGCAGGTGAATTCATGACTGAGAAACAAGTGCCGAGCCATCCAGACTCCAGTAGTGACTGATTACTCAACAAGGTCGTGGTGCCTGATTACATACCCAGGCCATCCCCTGAGCACCAAAAGCATCGTGCATCACCCAGTTGTGTTGATTATTCCAAATTCTATTTACTTGCTTAACTGAAACTGATTAATGGCATTATGGTATCTATCTGAGTACATATTCAAGGTTTTTAAATTCCTCGATAGAGAACCATTAAGTAATGAATTTCCGTAGCTTTTCAGTTAGCATTAGTTCAAACAAATCCTACTAAGTAACAGAACTAACTTTACTAAAAAGAATGATTTCGAGAATGAAGGTTCTTTTTTTTAATAACGGCAGGTGTCCCCACGCCTTCAGGTATGGCATTAATCCGTTCTATAAGAACAAAGTTGGGGCAATAAAGATATATAAAAAATAAAAATAAAAATCATAGGCAATGAAGTAATCATTAAGAAAACAGCAGTAGCTGACTTCTTAATTCAAGTATCAATCAGAACAACAAAGAGAGAAGAAAGGCCCCCAAACCAAACACGCCCCCACCCACCGCCCCCCCCAACCCAAAAAAAAAAAAAAAAAAAAGAAGAAGAAAGCTATAATACAATATTGTCTTGTATTCATTACTTTTCAATCCCTTATAACCAACTTCTACGGCTCAGCAACATGATTCTTGTTCTACCAATCATGTTTGCAGATTTAATTGTCCAGAAAATCTCTAAGCCGTAATCAACAATAATAACCGAAGATTGAGCACATAAGCAATAGATATTTTTTCTCTTTATATCAGAGAGTAAAGTAATTTTTGCAGCACACAGAATTGCATGATAAACAATCAATAATCCTGAAACAAATAAAACATTTAATTAAAACTTCAAATTAAAATGATGACATGGAAATCAAGAAGCATGTAAAAAAGATTACAATCACTACAATGGTAAACTTGCAGAACACAATCGTGAGCCAACAATAGTCAGTTGTCAGCATTTGCTTAAGCTTGATCACTTACTACCAATTTTACAATACAAAAACGATGTATACCTTGACAGAGATCATGAGCACCATAAAAGCCACTACGAACGAGAAGTCACTCTTACATTTATATACCTGCATAGCACATGAAGATGAATCAAGAATTAAAGCAATTTTCAGGAGATAATAAAGACAAAATCAGTGTATTCCATATATTATTTTAAATCAGTAGTAATATTTCCATTTCATTGATTAGTTTATCGTGCATCATCCTATAATTAATCATTATGAAACCCCAATTACTTCTTGCTATTCATGTAAAAAGTTACTTCAAAACAAGTTTTTAGAAAATAATTTGTGTGATTATGATCAAAACTTCATTTGAGACTAGCGTTTATAACAAGTGTCACCATTTGGCCCACTAGTATATATATATATATATATATATATTGATTTTCCATCCAAATTCCTAGAGGCTCTACTTAACTTGGTACATTATGCTTCATAATAAGTAATAATCATGGTGGACTAATTCTATTATTCATGAGTATGCATTAACTTTTGTTGGCAGAACAAATTTTCTATATCTTCATACGTTAGGTACTTGGTTAAAGTTCCTCCATAAATTTCCATTCAACAAACAAATGGCTACAATTATCAATACATTCACATTGGGGCCCTTAATATATGTTGCCATTAACAGCAATTTTTCTAGCATTTATCAACACATTCAAATAAATCAGCATGATTACTACATCTACAAATAGTAGGAATTCTATAAAGCCACATCTTCAAGAAGCTTAAAAAGAGCCAATATATTTCTACATGAACAAATAAATAAAACATATTAACAATTGGAACAAAATCTGGCCATATAGTTCCAGGTGTCATATCCAGAGGCAGAAGTAGGACCATGTATAAGAAGAAAACAAATGCAGGTAACAAATATAAACCTATCCAAGAACAACAAGAGATCTACTCTATGGTTCTTTTTCATCTTTTGGGAGAAGTTCAGTAATCTGTAGATGGACTCGGAAAATGGAGTAGTTCGGTAATCACCCTTTTTAACTCCCAAATTTTGAATAATAATACAAGGTATTCTCCGTTTCTAAACAATCATTAAAGGACATTCAACAATAAATAAACATCAAAACATATCTTGGCTAACACTATTAGTATACCCGATACAGATATAATGAGACAGATTTCCTGGAATCCATTGTATGACTTTTCATAAACTGAACTGATGCACGAGTGCATAGCTCGAAAAGTTGTCATAAAATTGAGTAATTGAGCTTTTTAAATGTCTTTAAATTGGGTAAATAAATGTCTCTAGATTACAAACATGTTTACTTAACTTGTTCAAAGACCAAAAGTATGTTGACTTTGGAACTTCATATACACAAATTAAGTGCAAACATTGTGGAGTTTCAGTTACACAAAACAAGTAATAATAACAAATACCTGTTTTAGCAGTAGAGGCAAACCACAAGAATTTGATGGAACTTCGTTGTTTGCAATTGCATGATCAATACATCTGTATTCATCAATAGAAAGAATTTGTAAAGCTTAGTAAAAAAAAATCGTAAAAGAAAAAAAAAAAAAAAAAACGAGTAGTCGATTCAAAAAAAATTACTTGCCTGGAAAATAAATCGATTAAATAAATTTAATATTCAACTCAACTCAAAGAAGTTTCATTTTCCAATTTGTTGAGTTTGGCTCTATCTAAGGTCATCATCTCAGTTCAATAAATTTGAAAACAGAAACAAATGCTATGACAGAAACACAAATGCAGGAACAAGAGCACACACAAGGACACATAGAGGATTACAAACAAAAAGAAGACTCAAAATTAAAATGGTGGAGTGAATATAAAACAATATAATAAGATAATAAAATTGAAGATATAGTTGATAACACGAAATTAGAACCAATAAGTATATGCAAAAATACATATATCCATACATACGAAAAAATACTACTGAGAAAAAAGAAGGAAAAATAAAAAAATATGTGAAACTCGCAATCAAGGCCAATCTGACTTTATTAATACAATTATTGAAATTCTTTCCCGAATGTGATTAACCCTTTCCTGTTAATTGCTGTTTCACAAATCATATGATCAAACAAAAAATATAAATGAACCTATCTAAATATGAATACCATTTTGGTCATTCTTCATCAAAAAACAGTTGCATAACCAGCTTTTGCACACTATGTATACACAAATTCGCAACATATATAAATATACATAAGTAGATACATATATATTTGAAAATTAAGAGTGTGTGTAAGGGGAAATAAGAGGAAAAATCTATACTTGGCTAAGGAGAAGCAGAGGTTGAAGAGGAATGAGGGGTTGTTCAAGTGTCGGTTATGGACATATCTCGACAGCAAATTAGTCACAGACTCCACCCGGAGGGCCGCCGTGCGCGGCCTGCCAGCCGTCGTGCCGGTGGTGGCGTCCATTAGCTTCCGGAGAATATATTAATTCTACAATTTACAATGAGTACTTCTCTCTCTTCCTCTCCCTAAAAACTCTCTTTTTTTGTGTATCGCTTGCCTCCCTACGGCCTCCTCACCTTGGTTTGCCCCTCTTTCTCACTCTAAAAACACACTCTCTCTCTCTAGTCTATACATATACGTGTGCGTGTGGTGCTGTGATGTGCTGTGCATTCCGCATTCCGCATTCCGCATTCAGCTCCCCTGCCAAGTTTTCAAATAAACTTTATAGTATATTTTTCTAGCATTTTAATGCTTGATGGCGACGTGGTATTCATTTATGGAACAATACTTGCTCTTCAAGTTCTTTACAGCTAATGCGTTACTATTTTTGCTATCATTTTGTTATCTTATTAAATGGTGTGAATTTTATAATTTCTCTTTTTTTTTAAATTATAATTTCGTCTAATTAAGTAATTAACACCAAATTAACCAATACAAGCAAGATTAAAAGTAACATAGTATTCAATAATTTCTTGAACACATGAATTTTCAATAATCTTGAAAACATGATGCTTCCGGTTAAATCGGAACCTAAAAGATAAAATGAAACGATGATGTATAGATAAATGAATTCCAAAGTACAATTCTAATTAAGGTACCGTTTAAATTTTAATTAGAAAAATTCATTATTTGAAGGAAAGTAAACTACCCACATTTCAGATGATTAACGGAAGAATATGGGACCCACAATTTACTCCTATATTCATCATATTATTTATTAACATCAGGACAATGCTTAACTATTCACCGGTCAGTAGTTTCACCCTACTCACCTCTTATGTGTTGTTCCAATAACAAAATAACACATCAGCTTTAATAACAAATTCAGCAAAATAATAAAAAAGAAAGAAGAAAGTCTAATCGACCTGTTTTAATTGGGTAACTCTTTTTTCTCTTTTCTTTTATCGATTCCCAACCCACGCGCTCCTCTCTCCACCGTTTTTCTTCTTCACCCTCTCTCTTTTATTTTTATTAGCAAAATATATCAATGTATTTTGAAATCGGAATTAGAGAAAAAATTAGTTTAGAGTTTGAATTAAATTTATTCGAATTTCAATTTAAATTAACGCGTGGATTCAAAAATCCCAAACATAGCTTTAAGATTGATTTCTGTACCTTGTAGCTTCTTTGGATAAAGCTACACCAGAGAATCTGGAAGCACTTGTGGAAGTTGGGAAAAATTTGCTGCGGAAAAAATCTTCATGGGTGAATCCGGACAATACATAAGAGAAACTTACACCAATCATGAGGCACCCGGACATTGATGATAGAATAAATTTAATTCAAATTCTAAACTAATTTTTTTCTAATTCCTTTTTCAAAGTACGTTGATATATTTTGCTAATAGAAATAAAAGAGAAAGGTTGAAGAAGAAGAACGGTGAAGAGAGGAGGGTGTGGGTTGGGAATCGATGAAAGAGGAGAGAAAAGAAACGGGTCGATTCGACTTTCTTTTTTCTTTTTTATTATTTTGTTATTAAAGCTGATGTGTTATTTTGTTTTTAGAATACATAAAAAGTGAGTAGAGTGAAGCTACTCACTGGTGAGTAGCTAAGTATTATCCTTAACGTTATTTTATTCTGGACTATGTATCATTGCACATGTTTTTAAATAATATTTAAATAAAAATTTCTTTTGCAATCACATTGAATCAAAATTCTTGTCTCCATAATTATTCGAATTATTAATACCTTTCAAATGATAAAATAATTGTTCACACTCTTGAATTAGACCACTATTAGAACAACTAATTATATACTATGAAGCTTTGAATACATTTTCATAGTTTTTATCTTCTGAGAAATCATTTTCATTGATCTTTTGTGGCGTTTCTTTACTCAAAATACTTTAAGTTTTCTTAAAAAAATTCCCTCTATTCTCATTTATGTAATCTGAATAACTTTCTATTATTATTGAATTGATCGATGAATTTAATCTCATTCAACATGGTGCTTGTATGATGTACCTTTGGGGATGTAAATTCCGGCAAGTTAAGTATAATTTCGAATTGAAATTTACTAATAAATCAAGATTCTATTAGAGTGGACTCTATTGGTTTAAGTTTGTCTTGCTCAAGTCGAACCCGACTTTAACTAAATCATACATGGAGTCACATAAATATGTCGTTGACCAGCCAATTTGTAGACTAGACCATATTTAATCATTTAAAATATAATTCTTTTTTTTAAGTTAGAAATTTAAAAATAATAATAATTGGGAGTACATGAACAGTGAAATTGTAATTATGTGTAACATTAAGTTGCTCATTTGAGCCTTTATAGTTAGACAATTTGTCTATTTGGGTTGTAACGATAATTTCTTTTAACTTTTATGTGAAATCAGTTTGAATTTGAGATATCCTTTCTAACCCAAAAATATTTTATTTTTTGGATAATTAACCCACTATTTTATTTTATTTTTCATTTCAAACACTATTATAATTTTTTATTTGACAAGAAACACACGTGTACTACGAACTATTCAACAATTTATCGTTCATAAATAGAAATATCAAGAATTTACAATTGTTGGTAGTAATATAAAGAATTTACAATAAGCATTCTTAGCCAATAGCCACCGGAATCTCATTTAACCAATAACAAACTCAAGGAAAAAAAAAAAAAGAAGGTACAATATATACATGTTCATGTGTAACTCAACAGTCAATATGCCCTTGTGGTTGAACAAAAATATTCTTCAAAGTGATAAAACCAAATTTCATGGGTCAACCGAGTTTACAAAGTGAGATTGGATTTAGAACTGAATCATCAAGACGTTGATGAACTAGTGCTCCCAAATATAACCTATATATTACTAAAGGGTCACCAAGTTAAAAGGATTTGGAATATATGTATATATATATATATAAAATGTCGTGGGTCTTTAAATTTTACTTTTTATGGAAGACGTCCTTGAGGGTAGGGAGCTTGATCTCGCCTTTCCTGGAGAGAGGGATGGTGAAGTTTCCGATGACCGGAAGGTCAATGGTGAGACCCAAGTCCAACTGGTAGTCTATGTCCCAATCTCTAGCTATATCTTTCACCAAGCTCACCAATATACTGTGTGCCACCTTCACAGGCACGTCCAACACCGTTGTTTCGTGCCCCCTTATTGAACCCGGGTCGGGTATCGTACCCGATGCGATCACCCTGACCCATATAACACACAAATCAACAAAATTAATATGCATGCTGAAAATGGAAGAAGGGTAATCAATCAAAACAATGAAACATGATAGTGAAGAAAAAAGGTCTTGGGGTTATTTTTTATCATTATTATAATTTTATCTTTTTTGAATTTAACTAAATGAACCCAAAATTATTCAATAAATTCACATTATTCTATATATATTAGTTGTTTTTAATAAAATTCTTCAAATATTTTGAAATAACTAATTTATCCCCGGTTGATGTTGGTATAGTGTTTCTCATTTACACGACTTGTGTATTTATATAATGATGATTCTCACCCTTAATAGTCTACCAGAAAATGCTAATGGAGTGATTTCTTTTACTAATTTTGAAGTTATCCAATATATTCAAGAGAAAGAAATTTCTGGTATGTTACTCTCAGTGTCAAATTTTTATATATTTTGAATTTTCTTTTCTAAACAGCAGTGTTCATACAACAACAGCAGCAACAACATTTATTATATATATGATATATATATATATATATAGCACACATTCACACACCAACTGAGATTTGATATATATATATATATATATATATAAAGTATATTAATATGCATGTATCCGCGTGTGTAGAGAGATAGAAAGAGACATGCATGCAAAAAATAAGAAAAGATCCATAAATATATAAAAATGGATATAATGAAACCTGGCATCGCTTTTGAGGACGTAAGAGATCTCGCAAATGGGTATTGCGGTGTTGTAAGGGTTTTTAACGGAGACCTTGGCGCCATAGGTGACGCACTCGCGGTTCACGCCCTTGAAGTCCACCTGGCTAAGGCACGCCTCCGGCTTCTCCATGTTCGCCACCTTCTCCGCCACATAGTTCTTCGCCTTGTCCACCAAACCCGACATCGTTTCAATCGCCTTTCTCTCTTTCTTCAACCACTTTAATTTCTAGAGAGAAAAAATTAGAGAAGAAGATTATCGCATGCATCGAATGGCAAGGAAAATGCTGGCATATATATAGAACTTAGAACACGAATTGGGTTCGTGACACGTGGAAGCTTACATAGCTGCAGGTGAGTGCTATTTTTATATTTTTTAATAGTTTATTTGTGAAATAAGTCTAATTATAGAAATAGAATAAATCTGAAAAAAATTATTTAGATAATGTGTTTTCAAAAAAAGATTGGCCTGACCGTCATTTATGCATATGATACTTGTATGAATTAAGCAATTGACCGTAAGTATCAATTTGTTCTCACCATTCAAATTGGGCTTTTACAATACGTAACTAAACGCTGTTTGCAATTGTTATCCTATTGAAAATCTGATGTCATTGACATTCAATTTTCGTATATTTGCCTTCAATTAAATGGGCCAATATTGCATACTATTTTTTTGCTATTTTTAGGAAATGCAAATGATTTATACGTGAATAATTTTGTTGTGATTGGTTAAAAAATTGGTTTGAGCTCTTTCATTTAATAAACGAGCCCAACTCAAGTTCATACGTTCCATATTTTTGTTGTGACGGATGGAATAAAACCGTGTCATTCATGAGAAAGAACAAAGAATGACGTTGATGGTTGGAAGTTGGACAATGTGATAAACGGGTCGTCCCCCTGCTTTGTGTAATAAGAGCTTGAGTTGAACCGAGACCCAAATTGTGAAAACATTGGCAAGTTGAGCTTGTCATTGGCTTTGCCGAGCATGCACGAATTCAAACCTAGCCGGAACATATTTATAATCTTGTTGAGCTAAACCCAAATAATACGGAGCTCGGGTTGACTCAATTCATTTATAACCCTAAGTATAATGGTTTTTTTTATATGGATCATTGAATTGAAAACATAATGAAAAAATAATAATAATAAAATAATAAATAATAAATAAAAATAAAATAAAATTAGGGTTAAGTGCATTAAACCCCCCTCAACTAAAACCCAATTGCAACCCCTGAAGTAAGTAAAACCCCCTAAACTATCATTTTGTTGCACTCCGTCAAGAACTGTCAAGGAGCCGTTAATAGAAAATGAAAATTACCATTTAGCCCTTCGTGTTGAATTATTTTTTTAAAAAAAAAATTATTATTATTATTATTATTTTTGGATAGGCTGATGTAACAATTATAATCTCTATGTCCAATGAAAATTGGCCAACTTAGAATTATTTTATTGAAGTGGACAAAAACAATTATCCACCAATAAGAGAATGACAACTCAATTAGTGGAGAATTATATATATATATATAAATTGTAATTCTTCTCTATCAGCAGCCACCACCACCCTCCTCTCTGTGTCCATCTCGTCAATAATATTTTTTGGGGCCAACAAAAAATTGAAGGAGATGAGAAGAAATTGTGAAGTAATAACATCAAAATATCAAAACAGGCTCCAATTTAAATAGGTTGTATATTGCAATTGATCGGATTTGATGCATGTCTCTCCATTTAAATATATTATTTGTTATGGTCGGAGATCGGCAAACATAGACGGTTGACCTTTTTCCAACGGAATTAATCTGAATTCACAGTTGAAAGAGCATTAGTAATCACTGCAAATTGTTTATTATATAGCACCTTGGAAATATGCTAAGAACAATCCTTTCCCAGATATAAAACTCTTAAAGCAGGGAAGATAAATTATTATTTATAGTCCAAGCATCATTCAAAACCAGACCATTCTCGTGGTCTTTGCTATCAAAATCTCATACATCCATAATTGGCCTGAAGAAATAAATCATTTTCACCATTGAGAGCATCATATGCTGAGAACAAACCCAAGAAATTGCAAACGAGGACTTGGTCTTGAGTTTGGATATATATATATATTCATCATATCCCAAGAACCCCCAAATTTGAAGCCCTAATTTTTAGTCTCGGCAAATCCTCTCTCGTTCGCCATTGATTTTCAGTAAATCCTTCTCATTTGCTCTCAAATCTCCATATTCAGGTGACTCGAACTCAAATCTCCATATCCAGTTCAGTTCCATTGCTCATTGGTGCTCACCGGCATCTTACAAATTCATCGCCACCATTGCCGTAATTCATTGAAGCTTCGTGACTCCTACAGTTGTTACCGCCACCGTTCTGATCCGCGACCATCGTTAAAAACAATCGTCGCCGTTCCGTGGGTTCATCCTCGTTTGCCGCCGCCATTTCAGTTCAACTCACTGTCGTCTGCCCATGTGGTTCAGCGCCACCATCGCGAATAGTCATTGTGTTCTCCGGTAAGCTCGCCGTCGCCGAGCACCTCTGTCACTACCGCTGCAGAACAAACCCACTTCTCACCGGTATTGAAGTTCCTGTTGTTGCCGGAGTTGGAGGCCAAAGAGAGGGAGGTGGATTGGGAAGAGAGTGGTTGTAGTGGCGGCCGTGGACGGTGAAGTGGTTGTGAGGGAAAAATATTCAGTGGGGGAGAGAACCGTGGTGGTGTAGGTGGTGGCCATGGGCGGACGGTGGAGGTGATGGCCATGGACAGATGCTGTAGGTTGTTTGAAGAGAAATGAGGGATATATATATATTTGTATCTGTATATGTTATTCCTCTCGGTCTTCGTTGACGATATATTGGTGTATAAGTGAACTTTACACATTCAAGGTTATTTTTGTCTTTATTGATTTTAACCTAGTCACATGAGTCATGTGTCTTATTTGGACGTTAGTTTTTAAACGGCCCACTAACGCTTTGCAACAGTTGAAATAATTTAGGAAGTTAAGTGTACTTCACTTAGTTCAGGGGGGTTTAATGCACTTAACCCAAAAAATTATAATGGATGAACTTCATTAAAAATATACCAATGACCCAACAACTAATGTATTAAGGACTTATTAAATGACTTATTTACTTTTTACATATCTTAATAATCTGTCTCAACCTAATAATTAAATAAAAATAGTTCAAACTTTTTTATTGTAAGAGGACCCTCGTAATAGCATTACTCTTATAACAATTTTGTTATTAAAATCAATTTAGAGTTGACTAAAGGCTTCAATTAAACTTTTATTTTCTTTCGACCAACTGAAATTTCATATATAACTAGCTCGTCTGATTTTATTTAAGATTTTTTTTTAGTTTTATTGTGACTATTTTATTTTTCCTTTTATTTTATGGCAACTAGCTTGTTTTCAAAGGTGCAACAATTGTGACTTAAATTAACTAATGTAGGTATATACTTCAAAATGGAACTCTTTCAAATGCATTTCCAAAATTGAGAGAGGGCTGGGGAAGGTAAACTACTATGGACAATGTTTGAGTTTTCTCTCTAAAAAGATAAATTTCATTCCTTAGATGGTTCAATATAATTGAAACATGTGTCTAACAAAAATTTAAAAATTAAAGATGGATATTACCCATTTTTAAGGATTAAACCATTGTTTATTTATTTTTTTTCGCTTTCTTTCTTAATCAAGATTGTTTACCTCTCTTTCCTTACAAAACTATAAAGAATTCGAAATATTCCCTCAATCAGTAACCACCTCTTTTTTTTAACTGACATGGAGTTGATTAAAACTTTTATTATTAAAACAAAGAAAATGTGACACCCCCAACGTTTTCCACGCATAAGTTGATCAGGCTTATACACGAAAAACGAGGGATATCAAAAACAATTGGCAATATACAAGCATGGAATATAAAATGATGATAATAAAAGAATTTAGACAGGAAAAGAACACTAAATGATACAATATCCATCCATCTTTTATTTAATACAGTACTCCATTACAACTTGGAAATCCTATGTCAATGATCCCTAAATATAAACCGGAGAGTTCAACGTCAAAAGTAAATAAAAACTGAAACTGAAGTAATACATAAAACTTCTACCCTGAAATGGATCGTAAGAGCAGATGAGTTCGGATGGTGGTCCCTCACTGCTAACCTCAACCTTGGAACGGGTACTGACCGTATCCTGAAATAACAACAATGATGGGTCAACCCCACGAGCAAGTTCTCTCTACTATGACCCAAATCAGAGAATCAAATAAATTAATCATTATGAATCGGACGAATACTATATCTGTATACATCCTAAGGGAACCACCCAATGTATAATATGACCTCAACCAGAATAGACGGTGATCACTTAGACTCACACTAAGTGGATAAGTGTCGCCTTTCCCTACCCGGGAAATCAGCTATTATACATGGTGCACGATACTGACAACACAGACTATAACGAACTACACAGTGATGACACCTCTCAATGTACTGATGAATATACTGAGCATATCAATTAGGCAACACATGCCAACAATATCAATAAATATACCGAGTATGTCAATTAGGCAACACATGCCAATAATATTAAACCACATACCCCGACAGCCACACATCTGTCTATAGCAACGAATGCATAAGGTATGAATGAGTCCAAACTTATTAGCCAGCTCACATGGTTCTATATGGCAACACATCCATATAATATAAATGCGACATAATAAACAGTCCATTTATTCCCTGAAATGCACACAGCATAATAATCATGGTTGATATATGATTAACAGTATAAATATCCCATAATATAATGGATAATTTATATGACGATAACCGTGACATTATTATATTTGAACAGTAATAATGAATACCATTTAATAACATAATAATACCATCTATAGTAATGTGGTCAAATGAGTCACATTCATATCTGTACGGTAAACGGGCCAATTAAGGTTTAGAAATATTAATCGGCCATAATAATACTTAACGTGTATTAAAATAATAATTTCGTGGCCCATTAAACCCGTAAATACCAACGCAGAACCTAAAAATCCAAGTTTAAGGTTCTAGAATTTACAAAACAAGCCCTAGGGGTATTCTGGTAATTTTTAGCAGCTGACAGGGCCCCTCACGCGCCCCCACGCGCCGCCCTAAACTCCCCCACGCGCAGCCCAACCTTCCCCACTATCC